ACTATGATACTCACATGCTATATATTAGATACTGAATGAGTATATGATATCGAGAACTCTGTTAGAAAATTAAAAAAGGACACGTTGAATTTTTAAAATATTATACCACATGCTGTAATAGTATACTATTGCAATAAATAATAGACTATTGAATTAAATATTATATAACAAAATGGTATATAGTACAGATTAGTCTTCTTCGCTATTTCAACTCAATTTCAACCAAAATTTCAAAAATTTACTCCAAAATTTTTCCCAAATTGACTCAAACTTCAACCACAATCTCCAATCAAATATATTAACTTAATATTTTGATTTAAAAAAATTAAAAAAATATGAGAACTCCGTTGAAAAGTTAAAATATAACTCAATGAAAATTATAAAAAAATTATAAAAGAACCAAATTATAATAGTATACTATTATATTATATAGTATGTTATAATAGTATAGCGTTGGAATGAACTGTATGCTAAAATGGTAAATAGTATACCATTTTGGTATATAGTACAAATTCTTCTTTTCTAGTTGAACGAAATAAATTATACACTAATGAATTAAATATTATATACCAAAATAGTATATAGTATGTTATTTTCGTATATAGTAATTAGTCATATTCCCTAGTTCAACTCAATTTCAAAAATTTACTTCAGAATTTTAACCAAATTAACTCAAACCGTAGCCACTACCTCCTATCAAATATTTCAAACTAAATATTTTGGTTCAAGAAAAAAATTCAAAAAAAAAAATATGAACTACGTTGAAAAGTTGAAAAAGAATTCAATAAAATTTCAAAAAATTTGAAAAGGACCATTGTAATAGTATACTATTATATTATATAGTATACAATAATAGTGTACGGTAGGAACAAACTGTATACCAAAATAGTATATTGTGACGACCTGGCCGGTCGTCTTAAGAATTAATGCCCCGATCCCCTATTAACTGCTTCCCCTAAGTTCATTTCTGCTATTTTGGTTTGCCGGGACGGTCGGTGTTGGGCTTCGGAGAGTTTTGGAACACTTAGTCCCTAAATGAGAGCTTAAGTGTTGAAAAATGGTCCGTAGTCGGAACAGTGTAAAGACGACCTCGGAATAGAAATTCGATGGTTCCGTTAGCTCCGTTAGGTGATTTTGAGGTTAGGAGCGTGTTCGGAATGCATTTTGGAAGACCGTAGCTCATTTAGGCTTGAAATGCCGAAGTTTGAATTTTTGAAGTTTCCGGTCCGATAGTGAGTTTTTGATCCGAGGGTCGGAATGGAATTTCGGAAGTTGCAGTAGCTCCGTCATGTCGTTTGGGATGTGTGTGCAAAACTTCAGGTCAATTGGACATGTGTTGGTTAGGTTTTTGATCGAAAGCGTGTTTTGATGAAATTTAAAGTTCTCAGGCTCAAATCATTGATTAATTCGAGTTTCCGGCGTTGTTTTAGGTGGTTTTAAGAATTGGTACAAGTTCGAATGATGTTATTGTCACGACCCAAACCCCGGTCGTGATGGCGCCCAACACATTGCTAGGCAAGCCCGACCATTTACACAACCTTAGCCAATAAATCTAGATAGATGAATAAATATTCACTATTAAAAATACCAATTTAGTGCGGATTTCTGAAATAATTTCTAACATTCGAAAACCCCAAAATGAAAACAAAATACTGATCAACCCACAGAATCTGGTGTCACGAACATGAGCCTCTAGAAACAGATTATTCACCTATTACAAGTCCGACTAAGAAAAATATACGAATAAAATAATAAAAGATAGAAGGGAGAGATCAAGGCTGCGAACGCCATGCAGCTACCTCGATACTCTCAGATATTTACTGCTCCGCTAAATAAGTCCTCACTCACCCTGTGGTGTACCTGAATCTGCACACAAGGTGCAGGGAGTATTGTGAGTACTTCCAACCCAGAAAGTCATAAATATAAATAAAGTCAAGAAATCCTAAATAAACACAAAGTAAAACTATAAATACAACAACGTGGACCAATAGCATAATACAGTAAATATTAAAAACAGTTATAATAAAGTCACACCAGAATGAGAATAAATAACAATTAAATATGCAATGCAACACATAAACCGGTACCTCCAGTATCCCGCTGCGGTCGTGCAACCCGCTCCATTTATTTAACGTCGACGGCGCTCACTGGGGGTGTGTAGACTCCGGGAGGGGCCCCTTACGGCCCAAGCGCAATAATAAGCCATCTCGTGGCATCAAACAGGCCCTTGGCCTCATATCAATATCATTATAATACTGCTGCGGCGTGCAGCCCGATCCCATACTCAGTCCAAACATCACACAATAGTATAAAAATATTCAGCCCAAACATCATTTAAAAATATTAACTTAATTTCTAATTTAAGAAAAAGGCTGAGATTTCAAACACAGTATTAAATACCAGGACTGAGTTTAATATTTATAAATATGGTAAGAAACCATTAAAATAATCCCTGAAGGATTCAAGTAGTTGGCACGAAGCCCAATTATGACAATTAATCCATTTTTATAAGGATATTACAAATCTACAATCAAATAGGTAACAATTTTATTAAGCGGGACGGACCAAGTCACAGTCCCTGATGGTGCTCTACCCCACGCCCGTTATCCGGCGTGCAAGTCACCTCACATAGCACTACGATGTGCAAATTCGGGGTTTCAAACCCTCAACACAGCATTTACATTTATTACTAACCTCAAGCCGGCCAAGGTCCTAGCTTGCTATGCCCTTGCCTTTCGAATTCACCTCTTCGCGCGTCGAATCTGACCAAAACCACAACGAATACGTCACAATATGCTAAGGGAATATAACCCAATCGAAAAGACTCGAAAAACATCGAAAATCACGAAGTTGGCAAAACCCGAGCCCCGGGCCCACTTCTCGAAAAATTACAAATTTTACATCACCGGATTCCTTATCTCGCCACGAGTCTATACATATAAAGAACATCAAAATCGGAGTCCAAATGACCCCTCAAATTCCCATTTTTGTTCTCTTAGGTTTCAAGCCCTAAACCACCATTTTTGACCTTAATTCCTTGAGTTTTCAGTGTAATTTCATGTATTTGCATGATAAAATTGTGTTCTAAGTCCAAGAATGCTTACCTGATCGAAGTCCTTGAATTTCCTCTTCAAAATCGCTCAAGAACACCCCAAGTCCGAATTCAAAATATGTGTTCTGTAAATATTTCACGAAGGGAAATTAAACCCTTTCTGACCAGTTATTTCCGCATCTACGACTACATAGACGCATCTGCGACTTCCGCTTTTGCGATGGGGAGCCGCTTCTGCGGACAAGACCGCTTCTGCGATTACTAGACCGCTTCTGCGGTCTCGCATCTGCGATTCCTTTTACGCAGGTGCGGTTTCCTTTAGCCTTCCAAAATTCCGCATCTGCGGTCCTACTGTCGCATCCGCGACTCCGCAGATGCGGTCAGCATCTCCGCACCTGCGATGCCTGTCGCTTCTGCGGTTCTTGACTCGCTTCTACGGTACCGCTTCTGCGGTCCCATTTCTGCAGGAGCGAAAATACCAGAAGCAACACGGGTTCTGCAATCTCCTAAGTTCAAAACTTCCCGTTAGCCATCCGAAATCACCCCGAGGCCCTCGGGACCTCAACCAAAAATACAAACATGATCCAATACCTTATTCAAACTTGCTCCAATCATTAAAACACCTCAAACAACACTAAAGCCATCATTTCTCATCGAATTCAAGCCTAAGTTCTTCTAAAACTTCCGAAACACGCATTCGATCAGAAACCCAACCAAAACACCTCCGAATGACCTGAAATTTTGCACACACATCCAAAATCACCTAACGAAGCTACTGCAACTCTCGGAATCGCATTCCGACCCCCGGATCAAAATCTCACCTACCAACCGGAATTCGTCAAAATACTAACTTCGCCAATTCAAGCCTAATTCTACACCGAACCTCCAAAATCAATTCCGATCGTACTCCTAAGTCACAAATCATCCCCCGAAGCTAACCAAATCACCGGAATTCACATCCGAGCCCTCTAACTCAATAGTCAACATCCGGTTGACTTTTCCATTACAAGCCTTCCTTAAAGAGACTAAATGTCTCATTTTCTACCAAAACCAAACCGATTCGACTCTAACTTACCAAATGCCGATAATGAAACATGAAGAAGCAATAAATGGGGAAAACGGGGCGGTAACACATGAGACGACGGGTCGGGTCGTCACACTAATAGACTTTGTCAGCTCTAGTCACGTGCCTTGGGAACCTCACATCGATCCACCGTAGCCGCTGGTTTGCACTGCCCTGAGGTCGATCATTTAGAACCCACGGGGTCGCAACCCCGAGCTGAGCTTCGAGCCTTCTGGGGGTGGTCTTTACGAGGCGCCTTAATGATCAAAAAATCGGAACACCGATTTTTACTGTATACAATTTCATTGGGGGAAAATTGAAATTTTGTGAGTTTGTTATTTAATAAATGTTATATATGTACATTAACAAGAACAAATAGATTCTACAGTTATGTACACCCCACAAAATAATGGATGGGCGCCCAAATGGAAATTACATTAGAAATAAAGCTTGGAAATGAATACAATAAAACTATCACCATAAACTATTCATAATGGCGAAATCAAGATGCTAAGTGTATGTGGAATATTACTAAATCTTTAAAGATTAACTATAAATACAAATTGCAACTGATATCATCGATTCAAACATACTTGCTATGAATTATGATTCCTCAAATTTGCCACTTGATCAGGAGTGGAGGTAGGCGGGCGGAAGGGTTCACTTGAATCCCTTCCGCCAAAAATTACATTTGTGTATATGAGATTATATTGTATACATATATATTGAATTCACTTAACTTTTTCGCATGTTTATTTTTCATTAATTTTTTGAATTTCTTTGGTGAAAATCCTACTTCCGTCGTTGCACTTAATGAATTGCTATTTGATCGAAATAACAAACATGGAACACCAGGTGAAGGTAAAGTAAGCAAACAACAAGTCGCATGTAAATGAAGAAAGAACTTTTATTCAATTCTCAGTGGAAAAAGAATTAGAGTAGAATAGACTCAAGAATATCTCGAAAAAGAATCCCAACAAACCCAAAGAAACAATAAAAGCAAACTCTTTACAAACAACAAGCTGCTTGTAAAAACATAATGTATATAATTAAAAAGGTGCAAAAACAATTTAGAAAGAAAGAGGAGAAGGAGCAGGAGCATCAGCAAAATCTTCAGCAGCTCCACTGCTTTGCAACTCAATCATGGCACGGTGTGGGTTGCTCCTCTGCTTCTTGCATAGGTCTGGCAAGTACACTCCTGCACATTTCACCAAATATATACATCGAAACATTAGTAAAACCCTAAATTAACATGATACGACGAGACAGAATGCAATCGAATTAATGATATGAAATGGACACTGACAGTGTTAAAAAAACAGAAATAATGTAATTACCTTCTCCGGCGGCCAAGTTGAAGTAAAGGTCAACAACATTAGGGCATTTGTGGTAGCAATCAGGAGAGCAGAGCTTAGAGGTAAACTGAGCCTCAAGCAAAGAATCAGAAGAAATTCCAACAGAGTTTCTATCAACACCACATGCATTCACACATTCATCTGTCTCAATGTATTCCCTCATGTTTCCAACGATAACTTCTGATGTCTTGCATTGGTACTCACTTTTCCCATCTTCTAATGTTGATTTCTCTAACAAACACCTCTTCCCAGATGATGCAATTGAGAATGCACAAACATTTGTTGGCAAATTCTCACAAATAATCTCCCCTATTATAAAGAAATAAAAAATTTAGACACAAAGAAGGATATCTTATGTTAACATGCCTGATATGATCATCAAACAGATTTAGAGCGGGTCAACGAGTTCATCTGAATCCATCATTTTTAACTCAAATCATGTATATATACATGCCATTTTTGATGTATTTATAAGCGATTTTAATCATTAAAAATAATGAGCATTCTAAATTCTGGATTCCCTTCTTTGCATGTAAAAATTAAAAACAAAAATTACATATAGATGTACATACCAAGAGCAACTTGGAGGAAAAGGGAACAGGTAAAGAAAAGAATCAAAGATGATTTCATTGAAGGGGCCATTTCTTCTTCTTGTTTTCTCTTTTTGTTTTTGGTGTGATTTTGTTTTGTTTTTGGTTTTGTTGTTTGGAAAACTTGAAGAAGAAATGGAGAACTTCTTTTTTGGGTTTGTGAGATGAGTTTGAATGAAGGAGTTTCTTGACTTTATATAGGGAGTTTAGGAAGGGAGAGGAAAAATTCAAGATGTGTTATGACCTATGCAAATCATACAATCTGGTCACCGGCTTAGTTAGTTTATTTACTTTTTCTTTTTATTTTTTGGGACTAATATTTATTTTTGATATTCTGTTTTTTAATTTAAAAGTTTAGACTATTAACGCATGAATCGACGCTGAATTTTGACGGATTCTCTTATTTTGGGAGAGCACAAATGGAATGGGATGGGAGCTCGAAGGTTGATGGACAAATTAGTGGATCCCACGCATTGCTTTTCCTTTTATATTTTATTTTTATTATTATTCTTATATAGTTCGCCAATAATAAATATTATTTCTTTGTCTGTGAAAATTAGCTCGGGCCTCGGAGAATAACAGTCAACCCATTTTAATGTGAATTTGAACTTTAATTGTTTCTTTAAAGATGTACATGTCTAGAAACAATGTTAAACTTTTACAAATTAAGGGGTCGATTGGTTGGAAGACAAGTTATGTTGGGATTAGTTATGCTGGTATTAATTATATTGAGTTTAATTACACTTAAATTAGTTATCATGGTATTATTCTCTCTGGCCATTATAAGTTATTCCGGTACTATTTTTAATCATAAATAACTTATTCCATAATTAGTAATCAAACAATGAGATAGGGCGATACTAATTTTTATTCCAAAATTATTTTTACTTATACATCGTACGAAACGACCCTAAATATCTTAATTTTATGTTTAACAATATGTTAAGATTAAATTCAATAGACTAATTTTTTGTTGTCGTGGTTCTTTGGCTTAACCGACTACTATAGGCTAGCTACTTTGACGCCTAACACACCAAAAGACGTGTTTTGATTTCTGCGTGTTGAAAGATTCAATATCCTTATTAGGAAGTTTCTGTAGAAAATCATGGAGTTTGAGGCCAATGAGTGGAAGGGAGATTCTTGGACCTTAAGAAACAGATTATACAGTACAGATGTTGGAAATCTAACATAGGCAGACTAATAAAAGTCATACGTGCTAACCCATTGGTTTCGTTGTTCACATCTTGACATCTACGTCATAAGTTTATTGGTGAAACTTCAATATGAAAAGTATAGCCTAAACTTGTGTGGATTTTTTGGTAGCAAAGTTACAAACTCAAAAATTAAAGATGTTAAATTGCCGCGCCTTCTCGACCCTTAAAAAGGTTCTAGTTTGAGGAGTGGTTTTATTAATGTATAGGGTAAAATTGGTTTATAATAAATGGTTGAATAAGAGCATGACACGCAGTAGTAAAGCCACATGGTCATAAAGGTTGTTAGCTGATCACCCTTCGTCAAAAAATTGCACTGTGTATATAGGCAAAATATTATATTTTAGAGGTATATAACACATATTGAACACCCTTTGTGGAGAATTTTTTTCCCACTTCTTTCAAATTTGAATACCCTTGAAAATTCCTAGCTTCGCCACTCATGACAGGTGTAAACAAAAACAGGTAAGAAACGAATCAAGTAACAACCAATATCGGGAACAACAACTGCAATTGACATCGGGTAAATCCCGAAGGGAGCGTGGTCAAAGGGAGCAGGTTGAATATTTTCCATCGGATAGCATTCAATGAAGAATATTTTCTAGCATTCAATTAAACAACTTTATTTGCTCTTCTGCATTGCTCTCATTTCTGTCCTCGAAGACACCGCTTTCGGTGCCAGGCTTGTCAATTTCTTCAATTTCAATTGCTAAGTCTTAATTTTAATCTTATTTCTTTATCATTCTTAGATCAAATCAGTTCGCGTGTCTATAAACCACGTAGCAAATTCAACTGTACCGTTTTACGGGTAAACAGTTTGGCACCCACCGTGGGGAAGACAGTTGCGTAATTGATTTGATCCTCACGTTTATTACTAATTTATTTGATTTTTCCCGTAGCAAGAAATCAGCAACGGTAGCTAATGATATCAACATCACGAACAGTGTTGAGGGACACGAAAATTTTCCTCAACGTGAAGATTCAATCAGTGACACCCGTACGAGGGGGCAAAACAACCCCTGTTCGTGAAGGACAGTATCCCCGGCATGTGCGGGAGCCAACTCCCGACGACGCGGAGGAGGAACATGTAGTGGAATATTGAAATCTTGAGGGACACTACAACATTATGTATATATAGCTACAAATTCTTAGCTACATATATGAAAATCGTGGCTAATACCTAACAGTAACCACAAAAATTAAAATTTCATGGCTGTTTACAATTTCATAAAAAGAAATTAGCTACAAAACTAAATTGGCAAAGCTAATTTAGCATTTTTGCTATAATTGCTAATTGTCGTAGCAATAATTATCCAAGTAGCTACAAATTTATTGCTACAATAAAATTTCGTAGCTAATTGTATTTTTTTTGCCACGCATTTGAAGTTACTGTAGCAATAACAACTTTATAGCCACCAAAAACTACTTCTAACAAAATGTTATAGCTAAATAGATATTTTTGCCTCTAAGTTATAAAAGCATGTGGCAATAACTGGATTAATCTATATTATATTAAAAGCACGAAGGCCTTTAGTGAAATGTCGTTCGTCTTTTTTACCCTTAAAAAATAAAGTTCTCACTAAATAAAATAGACATTTAATTATTTTCCTTATAACTAGGAGTATGAAATCAAATAAAATTTTAACTATTAAATATTTTCTTATTTTAACCATGTAAGAATCCTAACCTGCACGTACATTCGTACCTAACTTTCTTTATTATAATTTCCTTATATTTAAGTTTTGCACGTGTTAGAAAATATAATAGAATATAGGGACGAAATAATTAGGCTTTGATAGTATAGTCACTGTTCTTAAGGAATTTAAGCCTCCCAATTTCGTTGTTGCAGGGATTATGGCAGAATTCCTCCAGGATTTTACAAAGCCTCTGAAATTCGAGCACCAGCAATTAACTCGAATTTCCACTTGAACAAATTTGGTGAATTGAAGATAGCAGAAAAGAAGAAGATACTTTGTTGCTTTCTGATGATTTTTGTTTTGGAGAAGAAAAGGGTATTTATAAACCCTTTAGGTATCTGTTAGGACTAACAGACTCAACCTTTGCCAATAGGCACCTTTTAATACCAAAAGTCACCTCTTTTCAAACCCTTTAGGTGTCTGTTAGGACTAACAGACTCAACCTTTGCCAATAGGCACCTTTTAAAACAAAAGTCACCTCTTTTTAAAATTAAAATGTTTTTTTATTAATTAATTAAATTAATAGATGACTAAAAGAAATAAATTTCGGGCTATTTAATTGGCCCAAAGCCCCAAGTGCCCCAAGTGCATCTTGACTATTAATAATATAGCCAAATTCTAGTCCCCTCCAAAACATCTTTAAATTATTCAAATCATGTAAGACAAAGAAGTGTTTTTAAACACTTCTTTCTTTCTTTCTTTTTCCAATGAGGGACAAAGCAACCTCTTCTCAAATACTCCCATCAAAACACTAACTAATATAATAGCACGTACCCTTAATAGAAACAAGTTATATTGTTTACCCTGGAATCCGGATAACAATTGAATTTATATGGGGTTTTAAGGATCCGTGAACTAAAAGATACAAAAGGTTTGGATTGAGGAAAATAAAAGATAAAGACTCAACAATTGCTGCTAAAGTAAATAATCGCAGAATATAATATTGCTTAGAACAATTGTGCTTGATAGCGTACAAGAATTGAGAGAGATGGTACCGTAGTGTAATGGTTTCCGCCCCCCTCTTTATGGGGTCTTCTCCCCTTTTATACATTCTGATTAAGGGTAAAAATAAGGTAGGTAAATTAATTACATCGTGGATCCCTGTAATTACGCCTTAATGGCCTGAAGTGGTTGAGAAAATCACGTTTGGGCGAGATATCCGGCGACGCTTGGTTATCCGTTACGAGTCCGGCTTCCGACCTTGTGTGTTTCTCCATCCGGTGGTGACTCATATCGAGCTCTGCAACGGTCTCGAAATGACTCGACCTCGGTTGTTGACGTGGCCGTTGTTCTACCTTGCATCCAGGTCGGGTTCGATGGCCCCGACTTGCCCCGGACCGGACCCAACCCGGTCGGGCTCAAGCAAAAAGGGTATCACCCAATACAATCCTATTTCTATCATTCACCCATATTATTCACGCTTCAAATGTCCAATATCTTGAACTTGCTGTGGAGGTTAGATCGTTCCATTGATTGTTCCATATTGGTCAAAGAAATAGATTGTTGTGGTCTCACCCCCAAATTTGGTGCCAAACGACTCGAAACTATTCAAATATTACATAAAGTAATCAATACATGCTCAAAAGTTCATATTCTAACTATCAAAGTGATTTCCCAATCCTATTCGAAGAATCCCTAAAATTCACCCCTTGCCCCACGTACCCGGATTCCGGAATTGTCGAAAGAAGTTGTTACCCATAACCCCATGAACTCAAATATATGATTTTCACTAAATTCCATATCCAATTTCGTGGTTAAATCTCATTTTTATCAAAAACCTAGGTTTTCACCTAAACCCATGATTTTTACTAATCTACATGTTATAATCTACCCTTAAACTGTGTATTTAACTCACAATTGGTAGAAATCACTTACCTCAAAGTGCTAGGTGAAAACCCCTCTCAAGAAGCTCCAAAAATTGCCCAAAAAGTGAGAGAAATGGGTTAGAAATGGCTTAAGTCCCGTATTAAATGAACCCTTCTGCCCAACGATTTTCGCACCTACGGTGCCTTTGCCGCATCTGCGGTACCGCACCTGCGGTGCTTGGTCCGCTTCTGCGGAAGTTTTCAAGCCCAGTATGGGCCACTTCTGCGGACGGGAGACCGCTTCTGTGGTTCCGCTTCTGCGGCGAGAGTGCAGCTTCTGCGCCTCGGTCCGCACCTGCGCCCTTTCTCTTCGCACATGCGCGTTCGCGGGTGCGCACAAAATTCTGCACCTGCGGTCCCTGGCCAAATGCTCCAGAACCGCATGTACGGCCAAGCCCTTGCATCTGCGGGCTTGCACCTGCGGCTGGCCAAGCGCAGGCGATTATGACAGCAGCTGGGAGCTTCAACTGTTGCTCCCAAGTTCTAACTTGGTTCGAGCCTCGTCCGATTACCACCTGGGGCCCCCGAGGCCCCTTCCGCACATACTAGCAAGTTTGAAATCATAAAACGGACTCGCTCGAACTCTTGGAACGCACCAAACAACGCTAAGACTAAGAATCACACCCTAAACCATTTGAATGAAAACTATGAACTTCAAGTTCTTCAATTTACTCCCACTGCGCCAAAACGTACTTAAACTACTCGGAACGACACCAAATTTTGCGTGCAAGTCTTAAATGACATTACGGAACTATTTTCGATCTAGGAATTTCATTCGAACCTCGATATCATCAAAACCTACTCCAAACCAAATTTAAAGAACTTCAAAAGCCTTCAAAAAACCAACTTTCACTATTAGGCGGCAAAATGCTGCCGGATCATCCAAAACCCGATCCGATATGCCTAAGTCCGAAATCATCATACGAACCTATTGGAATCGTCAAATCCTGATTTCGAGGTCGTTTGCTCAAAATATTGACCGAAGTCAAACTTGGCCTTTTATGCCAACCTTAAGGAACCAAATGTTCCGATTTCAACCCGAACCCTTCCAATTTCCGAACTAACCATCCCCGCAAGTCATAAAATAGTAAAAGCACGTACGTGAAGTCTTATTCAGGGGAACAGGGTTCTAGTAAGCAAAACGACTGGTCGAATCGTTACATTGTTCATCTTCTAGGCTTTCATTATCTTCATCCCTGTCAAATCTATTAATGCTTTTCCTCGATTGGCGTCGGGGTGGTCCGGCCATTCATCATCGTGTTCTTCTTCTCCGGTGGTGGCAGCGGCGAATGTTGGGAGAAGGCATTCAAAAGATTACCTTTTTTCTTCCCCTTCTTTTTTGCTCAAACCAATTACCAATGTCCAAAAATCCCTCTTCAACTTCATTTTCAATCACAATCTCATTACTTTCTCTCTTTCCTCCACCGCACGACTACCACCTTTGATGTTCATGAAATCATAATAATATTTATCAACTCAAAATTTTTGAGAAGCAGACAAGGAAATTCGCTGTTTGCTCATAGTATTATCCAGAGAAGCAGCAACTAAAAGAGACTATGTTTTCTTCTCTAAGGTTCAATTCTTTCAAGAATCTGACCTGAAATTGATTCCCTTTGGACAAAATACAGTAACAAAATATTTGAGTACAGTGTTTAGAAGAAAATATGGGTTAAAGTGAACAGAGACAATACTAATATCTTTATTATTAAAGTTGTAGGATGGAGAAACTTGAATACAATGAGTGGACCAGATTAATAATTTTGGGGAAGATAAAGGAGTAAACAAAGGAGAATTATTGAGTGGTTTAAGGAGTAAAATATATTGTGAGCACATTTGGACATAAAAAAAAATTCTTTTTTTTTTTTTTTGAAATAGTGTTTGGTTATTCAAATCTTACAGTTTTCCAATCTCACTTGAAAATGCATTTTAAAATTAGAACCAATTTTTCAATTAAAAATGATATAACAAAGGATACATATAAATATAACTAATAGGAATTTTTACCTACTATAGCAAAGGTTAACACCTTATTTATTTTAAATAAATACCATTTAAAAAAATTATATTCTATAGATACCTTTTAAGGTTTATAGCAAAAAATTTAATTTTGTTACTTTCTAGCCCTAAGCCACTAAATACGCTAATCAGTCACATTATTTTCTTTCTCTCTCTACTTTGATACATCCCATTCTCTTCCCCCTCCCATTAAAATTTGTCTTCTACGCCGGCGGTGACAACCGTGTCTTCTTTCTTTTTAGGTCTTATGAGAAGAGGATTGATCTTATGAGAGCAGTCACAGTTGGTCCACTGGATACGCCTTATGCCCATGGCCTCTTCTTCTTCGACATACTTTTTCCAAGAAATTACCCCAATTGTCCTCCAAGGATTCACTACCATTCTTATGACCTTGACTTGAATCCGTACTTGGACCCAAAGGGCAAGGTTTCACGTAGCCTGTTGGAATATGGGATCTCGGTGACTAACTGGTACTGCGGTGTTCAAGACAAGTGGAATGCACAGAAGTCTGACATATTGCAAGTGCTCACAGCTATTCAAACTTCAATCTTGAGTGCCAACCTATTAAATCCTGGTGGTGGAGAAGGTTTGCGAGAATCCAACAACTTAGAATGGCTTAAATACAAGAAAGCCTTAACCTTGACAAGCAAGGGCATGCTTTATATGCTGAGAGAACCCCCTTTGAACTTCCAAGATTTTGTAGAGGGATACTTTTGAACAAAGACGACTGATTTTGGGGCTGAACAACTTGATTTTCTGTTAATATATTTCAATGTATTTTCAATGTATCACGCTGTATTTTCATGTATTTCATTGTATTCATTGTCTTTTTTTCCATTGTAATTCAATGTATCTCGTTGTATTCCATGTATTTCATTGTATTCACTGTCTTTTTTTCTCATTGTATTTCAATGTATCCCGTTGTATTCTATGAATGTATTCATGTTTTTTTTAATTAATATAATTTATGTATTCAGATGTATTATATAATTTCTCTGAAGATTGCTATGTTTTTGGAGTATTTTTCGGTTGAGAATCTTTTATATAACTGAAAAAACAAAATTTGTGTGTTATAATTGAGTTTGTCGAGTTATATTAGGAGTCTATTATGTTAATTGATTCACTTTTAAAAAACAGTGTAATCCCCTATTTCACGTCGCGAATACAGTCGAATACAATAATCTGTCCAGCTGTAATCCCATGTTTCACTCCATGAATACAGTCGAATACACTCGAATACAACAACTGATTAGCTGGACTTCCCTGATTCATGCCTATTTTTGCTACTCTATTCATGAATACAATAGCTTAAATACATCAAATACACCTTATAACCACATAAAAGGTATCTATAATCCGTAATATAGCAAATGGTATTTATAAATGGCTAATTACTATTAAAAGATAGTGATTTATGAAAATTTCTCAAACTAATATTTGATATGGCAAAGGAGTATACATAGCCCTTTTCCGTAAGAAAAATGGCTTTGGAGATAGGTTCAAAGAATAGCCAGTTTTGTATATCGAAAGTGGCTGACAAAATCTTTAAAGGAATGGCTAATAGAAAAAGAATGGATCACTGAATACCTGTTGATTTATTTAGTTAGTGGATACAACCTTTAAGGAAAAGGCACTTACACTTAAATTTCTTTCCTACTTTTTATTAATAGTTATATATATATATTCTAAATTTTCATTATAATAATAATAATATATGGACTAAAAACAAAAGAAAGACGATATTGCGTATTGGTATAGCACATAATTAAAGGTAGCTAAACAGTCCGATGAACAACAAAATTCATATTCATATTATACACCCAAGTTGTAAATCTATAAAAATTCTTTCTTTCTTTTCTTTTCAAAAGGTGAGGACTAATTCCCTATCCTAAAAAGTTAAAAGGGGGCACTAATCCACCGATCATATTCCCATTTTCTTGTTCCTTCTTCTTCTTCTTCTTCTTTGCATTTCATTTTGCTTTTTAGCTCTCATCAGCATATGCTAATGGGACATTTTCTGAACAAGAAAAAGGAAGAATCTTTCTTCAACAATCTCACAGATGAACTGCTGATTGAAATCCTCAGTAGACTACCAACCAGCAAAACAATCCGATGTAAATTGGTTTGCAAACGCTGGTTTTCCCTTATCTCCTCTGATTACTTCGTAACTCACCATCTGAAGGACGACAAAACACTCCTCCCTTTTACTTTCGTTTTAAATGCAAAAGATAATTATCGATATGTGTTAAAATTTCTCTCTGGAAATGGTTTATCAGATCGTGTGGATTTAGGGTTTCTCTATACAGGTCGGCCTCTTGGTTATCGAATTAGTTTAAAAGAATCCTACGGTGACTTAATTTTATGCTCCGGAAAGCCGTCATCTGGTATTGATTTTTTTATATGTAATATTTTTACTAAGCAATGGATTGTGCTTCCTCCTGCTCCTTTAGAAACGTCACATTTTAAAGAAAATGAAGGTGTTGGTTTCTTGATTGAGCCTAATTATTTCGAGTATCTTGTCTTGCGATTTATTCCTTTGGGTGATTTCAAGTTTAATATCCAGATGTTTTCGTCTGAGCAAGGAAAGTGGAACAAATTGGTTGTTACATCTCCGCGGAATTTGAATATTTTAACCCGTAAGACTAGGATTGTTGCCTGTGGAAGGATGTTATATACATTCACTTATAAGAGAAGCGATGTGGTTGATTGTGTTCTCGCGTTTGATCCATTCACTAATGATCCTGCTCGATTTCTATGCGTTATTGATTTCCCACCTGAGGCTCGTGAAATTCCTTGTCTGACTGGTAAATTGGGGGTGTGTCAAGGTCACCTACGGTTTGCTCAACTAATTCTGCAACCAAGTGGATATCCTTGTATAAGTATATGGGAACTTGAGGATGATTACAGAATGGGAAATTGGACATTGCTGCACAAGAGAATCTCTACGCACGAAGCGTTAAGAGTTCCCATACTTAAGCGCGATACCAAAAACTCAGTTTCTGTACTAGCTTTTCACCCATATAATAAGGATCTTATATGTTTTCTTGTAGGTAAGGATTGTGTTGTCGTGTACAATATACGAACGGGTGAAGTGGAAAGCTCTACCCGCCCTTCTCTATTCAAGCATAAGGAATGGCCAAGATCACTAGCAGCAGATGTTGGGTCACGTTTGTTACCAATTACCCAAAATTGGTGGCCAACACCAGTAAGACAAACCCTTTGAACTTGGTTAGAGTTGTTGAACATTCCTGTCTTCTTCTTATGGCTGTCCATGATTAGTTCATTGAGTGTGTTTTAGGCCTATGATATGGTGTGAAGTATTATTAGTATGCTGACATAGAATTGTTATTTTCCTTGTTTTGCTTGGTAGTTAGCAAAGACCTTTCTTTCAGGGTATGTTTTTATAACTTTAATGAAAACTAGTCGGTTACCTCCATTGTTCAACTTTTTTAATTCTGATAGTTTTTACACTTCCCATATATATTATCACCTTGCTCTTGAACCAAACACTGCTCTCACCTTATAATTTGTTTCAGCTTTGGTAAAAGCTGATTACTCCACATTTTGATAAATTTTACGTATCCAAGTCGTTTCGTCAACCCCATAATCTCTTACGCCCATCTTTCACAGTCCCATCGCATGCGATACAGTTTCTCCAGTATCTATTTTTGTTGTCTTTCATTTATTTATTTGCTTGAAAAGACATATGGTATATTTATGTATGTTTCATGTTCCACGAAGGAACTATTCTAGTATGTTTAATTCCTTTTAAGTCTTTTACAAAGGTTTCCTAAGCAAAACTAGGGGAAGAATCATGATACAATATTTTCCCTTAAAAAGCTACTATATGCACTAAGCAGTTTGCGATGATTCCCTTCCCCGAAGATGTGTGACAAGTAGTCTGGCTTATCCAAGTGGTCAAGCAGCAACCTGCAATCTATTATCATCTGTGAGAAATTTGTGAATATTAGTTAGTGCAAGTATAGATAATGTTTTTGTGAGTTGATGTTAATTTCAAGCAGAGTTAGATTAAGTTCTCCTGCAATCTCCAGTCCTCTGTTTTAGTCCTTGAATTTCAGCTCCTAGCCATTAAATATCATCATTTGTAGTTTCAAGAACCTTTAATCCTTATAGTTTCTTATGACAATGACACCTCCTATGCCACTTTGTCTAGTTTTTGCATTAAAGACACCATCTGTTTTGAGCTTTTAAGATCTTTCTTTTGTTGGGTTCCATTTGATTATTTGGAATCGACTGTTGTTGGACTGTCAAGGTGAAGAACTTAGTGGCTTTAGTCACAGGGTGGTTTATCTCGATATAGTCCTTTTTATTATTAGAGGTGTTAATTCTATTGGTCTATATATGCCCTAGTGTATAAGGTAAGACAAAGAACCACGACAGGCATTGGTTGAGCAATTTGCTCGAGCTCATCCGGGTACCCTTGATCCAACTTGCCTCCAGTGCTTTAGTCTAACAGTAACATCCACCATGGGATGTGTGGGGTTAGGCTCACATCATGGGTTCGAATCTGATGAAAACAAGAGCCTGGTATTCAAGTGGAGAAGAATAGAGGAGCAGGTTCATCCACCGAGTTTATCTTTCTAAATTCCTAGTTTCTGGGATTGAAGAAACATTTTATTATACTGAGATCCAAACAGCTCTTTATCTGTTCCTCAGTTCCAGTTTCTGCTTTCTGCTTCTTTCTCAGTTTCTGCTTTCTGCTTCTTTCTCAGTTTCTCTGCTTACAATCTGTTGAAAACCCCTCATTTTTAACTGTAGCATTTTGTATATTTGGTCTAATCTTTACTCTGGTTTTAACTAAATCATACTATATAATCACATGGTTGTTTTTCTGGAATTTTTTTGTCATGCTGCATTGCAAAATGATATTTTGATAGATTTCAGATTTCGTCCTCTAAGTGTGCATTTTACTGAATTCCATTTGGACTTTTTTTTTTTTTTTAATTTTATATCTTTCGTTTTTTATGTTTGACTGAAATAAATCAATAATGGAAGAGTTTGATCTTAGTACAGGAGATTTAACAATTAATGCAATAAGCATAATATAATGATTTAACAAATACAACAGAGCAAGAGCAACTCCAAACCAAACTGAAGAACAAATCAACTCATTTAACTTATGGAGCGATTATCATTAAGTAATGCCCGAAAAAGTTTTTTTTTTTTTTTTTTAAATTTAGTATGTAAATGGTATGGCGACCACTCGCGTTGAGTAAATGATGTTAGGTATTCTTTAGGGATGTTTAGTTTAGAAGAATTATAATAATGTAGGAATTATAATGCAATAATACGGAGTTTGTGAGCTTATAATGCAGTCATCAGAGTTTGTAATACTTAGAAATGAGTAAACAATATAAACTAAAAACATCTGTTTACTTTTAAACCAAAAAAAATCTTTATTATTATGAGAGTTAGTTTTGTCTTTTGATCATCTTAATTCATGTAATACTAATGCCCTCATTCCTTGTTTTATGAACGTAATTCAAAGACTGCCATGGTTTTCTAATTACAGTAAGCGTACAAGTAAAGAAAGTTGTACACAACAAAGCCTTGCTATTATCCCTTTTTATAGTTGGAATTTTTACATTCCTATGCCACATAGGAAACCTTATTACCCTCAATATTTTAAGGTTTGACTTAATTACATTTAGTATACCAAATTACCAATTCTATACCATAATTAATTAAGGGTATAATTAATTATACTTTTTTTACTCCTTAATTAAAGGAATCTGTACTTCTCCATTCTCTAAATTGGGCTACTGATTTTCGGGCGTCGGTTTAGCACATTCATATTGTAGATTTTTTTCCTCAAGTCTGCACTTTTGACTTAACGGTGGTGTGTTGTTTTTTAGAGAATACCATGAATATACAAAATGTATTATAGAATGAGACTTAAAAGATGAAGAGACAAAAGCCTTTAGCGAAAGAAAAAAAAAAAAGACAAAAGCCGTATACGCTGAATGCAAATTATATGTCATATTTGGCGAATGCGATTTTGGTCACCGTTCAAGTTTTACGACGAAGTTTCCGGTCTAGGTTTTGTTGATATTTGGCTAGCAGAACAATACTCCCCTATACATGCCTTATCAATATCGTACAAAGTTTATTTTTACTTCTATTTTACTTTTCCTATTTCTAATCTAAGTTTCTTGATTTCGCACACTTCATACACACATTTGATACAGCAAAAATATGAAATAGTTATAGTTGGATTGATCAGAATTTGAAATAAATAAAAGAGATTTTTACATTCCTATGCCACATATATTTCAAATTCTATGGAAATCTGATTTTACGGTAATATCTATAAAATCTACAAATAAACTACACATCAGTTTTAGGATGTATAAAGCAATATTGTTTTCATAATTATCTACAAGATTACTACATTTATATATACTATATTAAAAGCACGAAGGCCCTTAGCGAAATGTCGTTCGTCTTTTTTACCCTTTAAAAATAGATTTCACACTAGACAAAATAGTAATTTGANCAACTTTTAACATCATTAAACATGTTTTCCACTTGAAATCAAGGATTTTCATGGGTGAAATTGGGGTTTTTGGGTAGAACCTAGGTTTTCTATAAATTGGGAAGTTGGACCTCGGATTGAGGTCCCATTTCAAAACAAATTATATATTTAAACTCGTGGGGGAATGGGTAACCAGATTTTGGTTCGAACCTCGAGTTTTGACCACGTGGGCCCGGGGGCATTTTGGGAAATTTTGAGTAAAACTTTGGGAAAATCGTTTTTATGCATTCAAACTAATTCATATAGTGTTTGATAAAGTAATTGAGCAATTTGTGATTAGATTCGAGCGGATTGAAGGTGGAACCGCGAGGTAAAGCAATAGTTGAGGATTAAGTGGATTTCAAGGCTTTGAGGTAAGTGTTTGGTTTAACCCTAGCTTGAGGGAATAGGAGTTGAATCTTGTTGTTAATTGCTATGTGATCGAGTACGATGTATAGGCATGGTGACGAGTATCTATACATTGGTGTCTAGCATGACCGTGAGTCCTTATAATATGATTAGCATGATTTGGTTGTGAACTCCGTGTTTATTGGAGGATTTCTATATGTTGTGAATAACATGTGAACGGTAATAGGATCATTTGATTCCTGGAGCACTGGCTCGAATTGTGATACGAATATTGAAAGTATACGAAATGACTTGATTCTTTGGAGCGTTGGCTCAAAATAGTAAAGTGAATTTTAAGATAAGGAAAGTAAGAAAGAGAAAGCGTTGTTGATTATTCCCTTGTCGGGACATTTGGTTGAACTTGTTGGATTCTTTCCCTTGCCGGGATGGTTGTCAAATATTTGCTTATTTTATGCCCCTTGATTGTGACTGTTGTTTGGGAAGTCAGACTGTTAAATGATATTGAGGATCGGGTTGCGCGCCGCAGCAATGATGTTGAGGATCGGGTTGCGCCCCGCAACAATAATATATGAGGATCGGGTTGCGCGCCGCAACAATGATATATGATAAGTGATATGGGTCGGGTTGCATGCCGCAATGTTTGTTGCAAGTTGAATTTAGTGTGAAAATAATAAATATTTTTCGGGCATCGCGCGGGTATATATACTAGTTCATATTAAAGCACAAACCCAATTTGATAGGTGAAACATAGAAAGGATACTAAAATTTATGTACCGAAATAAATAGTAATAAATTATCATATTTCTTATATGAAATTTAAGGTAATTATAAGTTTTTATTCTATAAACTTAAGTAGTGCACGCATGTCGATCGTCTTTTTTACCCTTTTCAAATAGAGTTCACACTAGACAAAATAGTCATTTAATTATTTCTTAATATTTAGTACTTTGAAGTTAACTAAAACTTTAGTTATTAAAGTTTACTTTATTTGAAGGACTACACAGTAAATCTTAATATTTAGGACATCAAAATCAACTATGTTTACCTTATACAATTCAAATAAAACTTTTTGCCTTATGATCTACGTACATAGAAATTAGCAGTGTATGTGTATAAGAAGCATTTTAAAGCTCGATTCAATTTAATATACTTTTCCACAAAATTATTTAAACTATTATATACATCAGTTTATATAATTATTTATTTGAAAATATATTTATGTGATTAAGTTTTTTGCTACCTATAACATTAACCCATTCTAACTATTTTAAAATCGTGAGTACTATGAAAATTATAAAACCCAAGTTTTAAAATGATACGGGACAACTATATGGAAGACAATAAAAAACATCAATATACAGTTCATTCAAATTACAACTTAGTTATTTACTTAATATTTCAAATAATTAAATTAACTAAATTTTAGTTATTAAATAAATCATTATTTGAATTATGTGTGAAATCCTAATTTTTAAAATTTATCAATCACGTTTTACCTAAAATAAATTGTTTACTTATTTGAAGTGTATACCATAACTGTAATACATTTTATGTTATTTTTTTTAATATTTAGAGCTTTGAAATCAACTAAAATTTATATAATAACCTTTTGTATAATATTCGAAACTATACTCAATAATTATTTCGACTTGCAAACATCATCTATTCTTAATGTGTAGTATTTATGATCATAATTAGAAAACACATTAGTATAGCTCAAAGACATTATTTAATACTACTTATATATTTTTTTTAAAAGTTATTTACTTATAGACAAGGGAAACATGCACAAAGCGCGTAACCTAAGACTAATCTATATCTATCAGTCTATATCTATACTATATTAAAAGCATGAAACCCGAAATGTCGTTCGCCTTTTTTACCCTTTAAAATAGGCTTCACATTAGATAAAAGTGTAATTTTCTGTTTCCCTAATATTCAAGACTAAATATTTAATTATTTTCCTAATATTTAGGAGTTCTTTTCATTCTTTTTCCTAGAATAATAATTAGGAATTTGAATTCAACTATAATTCATTCAAAATGCGTAAGAAGGAAACCGTATATATCTTTGCTTAGAGACTATTTTGAAAACTTTGTTGCAGCTTATCAAACTGAAAAAATAAATAAATTACAGACTTAATTCCTCTTTCTTTTTGGAACCAAGCTATACGCCTTAGGATTCTTATGTTTTGCGCGTGTACACCAACTTGAGAATATAATTCTCCCGGTCATTTAATTTTCTCAAATTGTCCTCCATATGCATAGCAATTTATAATTTAAATAAAAATAAATATACTAAGTGCTATTATAAATATACATACGAAGAATAAAAAGTGATCTACATATGCTAAAACATCTAACACAAATTTAAAAAAAAAAGGTTATTTTTTCACATATGTCCAAGCCTTGTGTCACGACCCCAACCCCGGTCGTGATGGCGCCCAACACACTGCTAGGCAAGCCCGACCAATTCCATAACCTTAACCCTTTTTATACAGCTCATGATTCAATTAACACAAATAATTACTAAGTCACAATACTGAATATCTGAACTAAAGTTAAAACATGTGGAAAACCCAAGTAGAAATACTACTACACAGCCCGAAGAATCCGGTGTCACAGGTCTGAGCCTCTAATATACGAGTGTCAACCTACTACATAATGTTCTGAAGAAATGCGGAATAAAAATAAATAGGATAGATGGGAAGATCAGGACTGTGGACGTCATGCAGCTACCTTGATGCTCCCGGATGTGATGCTCAACAAAGAAAAACTCTCACTCAGCCTC